CCAGAGAGGCTACAAGCTCTCTATTTAATCCCCTGGACCTGTTAAAGGCCATTGCTACCCAGAACATCCCTTTCTTTAATGGAATCAACTTACCCACTTGGATAAATTGCTTTGAACTCTATTTCAAGAATCATAGGATTAAACAAGGAGACCGCTTTGAGGAAGTTCAATACTTCTTAGAAGGTAGATCTGCTGCTCAGCACAGCTTACTGACAGGCAACTACACATGGGCAAACTGGAAATCAGCTGCATTTCAAGCGTTTCAGAGGTGGCATAGAAACAGTATTTGCCAAATTAAAGGAAGTAGACCAAACACACTTCAAAATAACATAGGAGTTTATTGAGGAATTAAATACTCTCCTAAATCAATACCAGGACCTGTTCTATGGTAGCTACAGTACAGTGAAAGGTAAGTGCGCCCAGCAGACTTTTCTGGAAAACCAAGGGTTGGATTTGGGTCTGTGAGATGCTTACCTCAGAATACTATCAGTTTGCTGAATCTCATGCTCCCAGTAAAGTAGAGGAATCATATGTCTTAATCCATTGCCTTGGGAATTTTAAAGCTAGAGGCCAGTGCTGCACCCTCATACTATTGTAAAACCCAAGGAGAAGCTGAAGGCCATCATGCTACCTCCAGATTACCTATCCAAGAACATGAAGAAGTTAGTGCAGGGAATGGCTATGCTTACCACATATGACCAGTGGTGAGCAAGAAAAGTTAACTCTATATTGCCACAAATGCAAGATGCAAGGTCATCTCACAGGCACCTGCAAAGGACCCTGCAATAAATGCAGAGCTGAAGGACACACCTATGTACATTGTCCAAATAACCGCCAGAACAAGCCAAAGACACCAGCTGCAGAGTCTAAGCAGAACCAAAAGCAGGCACCCAAGACCAAGAAGGAGATGGAGCCTGCCATATCCAAGGATTAATCCTACCTGGTAGAAAGCATGGCTGCAGTAAGAACAAGTGTGGCCTAAAATCACAGGCTCAGCCACATTGTCTATCCCTATAATACACCTGAGAAGCAAAAAGGGGCTGAGGCAGCCAAGCCTCAACTGCTTTTTCCTGATGCTCACTTATCCAATCAGGCGCCCCCTGTAGCCCCTGTGACGGAACAGTCACATTCTACCCAGACAGCTCAACCAACTGACCCTGAGGCTCAACAGTCAGAACCTTTTGGGATCCCTATGGATGAGGAAGATGGAAATTACCCTGTTGAACCCACTATTGAGGTTACAAAGGGGACCACCTCCAAAGCAACCACCCTAAAGAAACCAAAGGTCAAATTTTCATTGTTATCTTAAGTAAAGACCCCTAAGCTTAACATGCTGAAGATCTTTGCAGACACACAGGTCCCAATTTCCCTATATAACTTGGTGTAAATTGTGCCCAGAGTTAGAGCGCAAATGGTACATTACCTTGGTGTCACCAGAGTCTGAGATCCAGAGGAGAAGTCTGTGTTTATGAAAGAGAAGCCACAAGATTCCTAGGAAGTGATTGACTTCGTTAGCATGGGAGCACCATGTATTGATGGGGAGGTAGAAGGCCACCCCACATCCATCATTCTGGACAGTGGATCTACATCCAACATAATCTCTGAGTTTTTCCTAAGATTGTTAGGAATACAGGAATATAGTAAAGTCAAAGAGAAGTTTACCTTTGTGAATGGCAAAAAAATAAGAGTGCCTTGGAGTTGTGTGTGGTCTCACAGTTGAAATCTGTGGTGTCCATGTGTTAATCTCCACAGCTATCTTTGCACTTACCAGGTACAACATTCTACTTGGATGTCATGCCTTGAGTGACTTTGGCGTCACTATATCCTTCTGTTGCCACAATTGGTTCATTGAGAGCAACAACAAGCTAATTCCTATAGATATCAGCTACTCCAAGTTGCAAGAAGATGGGGGGAGTCCTTCCTTACTATTGCTGAGGCTGATAAACAGAATCAAGGGCTATCTGCTAGTCAAAAGGGGAAACTCTCCTCCTTTATGCTCAGATACACAGATCTTTTCTTTAATGAGAATGGTCCTCTACCACCAGCAAACCTAGAGAAGCACACTGTTGACACTGATACAGCAAAACCTATCCACAAAGTGCCTTACTGTCTGGCCAAGAAGTACAAGGAGTACATCCAACAGGAGATAGACTGCCTGTTGTCCAAAGGCATCATCATGCCGTCTACCTTGCCTTGGGCTTTGCGGGTTGCCATTGTGCCTAAAAAGAATAAAAAGTTATGTATGTGTGTTAATTACATACCTCTGAACTCAGTCACCAAGGCTGATAACTATCCTCTGCCTCTCATCAGTGAGATCTTGGCATTGTACGCCGGCTGTAAGTACTTCACTAACATAGACTTGTTCTTGGGGTACCACCAGTTGGAAATAGAGCCTGCAGGCATCATTAATACTGCCTTTGTTGCCAAATAAGGTCAATCTCGATACAAACACATGTCTTATGGACTCTGTGGAGCCCCATGTACCTTCAAGCGTGCTATGAACTACATCTTTGCTGATCTCCTTTACAAGAAGGTGACAGTCTACCTAGATGAAATTACAGTGTTTAGTGCTACTTTCAAAGAGCATTTGGAAATATTTACCAAAGTCTTTGGCTGCATCTGAAAGGCCCAGCTGTCTGTTAATGAGTCCAAACTATTACTTTGCCAAACCAAACTCCACATAATAGGGCATGTAGTGGACAAAGAGTGGGTACACCCTGATGCTGACAAGGTGTTAGCAATCTCATAGTGGCTATTATCTACCAATGTCGCCTGTCTGCAGTCCTTCTTGGGTACTGTTGGGTACTACTCCCGTTTCATACAGAACTATAGTAATATTGGTGGACCTCTATTTAAGTTAATCCATAAGGGTACAGAGTTTACCTGGACCCCTGAACAGGAAGTTGCCTTCCAGACACTGAAAGAATGCCTCATGAAAAAGCCTGTCCTAATCCACCCAAACTTCCAGGAGAAGCTTTTCATCTTTACTGATGCCTCAGAAGAAGCAATAGGGGGAGTCCTTGCACAACAATGCAAAGGTCTGTTCAAACCTGCCAAGTACACAAGCAAGTTGTTCAGTGGCCCAGAGCTACATTAAAGCATCTACAATAAAGAGGTGTTAGCTGTAATTAGAGCACTTTGTAAATTCAATTACTACATACTAGGAAATCATAATACCTTGTATACAGACAGCATGATGTTGTCCTTTATCCTGAGCAAGCAAAAAGAGAACATGATACACATACGCTGGGTCATGGAGATGTATAAGTATCTCATGAAAATAAATCACACACCTTGGAAGAATAATGTTGTTGCCAATGGCCTCTCAAGACAAGGAGTCCACGAGTCATATCTGATGGAAACATTAGCAGAGAGTTATGTGCCTAAGTTATATGCAGTATACAGAATTCTTACCACAGGGGAAGTGAATGCACAATTACCTATGCTCAAGTTAAAGTAGATACTACATGATCCTAGGAGAGGCCCTGTACAGAAGTATGTGTGGCTGCATTGTAAAGGTCCCCAAGAAAGAAGAACACCAGCTAATACTCTGCAAAGTCCACAAAGGAACTGGACAATATGGAATCCTTACCACTGCAGACAATTTATGCAAGAAGTATTGGTGGCCCAACTACTTTGAGGACATCAGAACATACATCAAGAGCTGTCACCTGTGCCAGATCTTTGAGAAGAAACATCCAGTAGCAAAGCCTATCAACCCAATCACAGTAAGCAGGTTATTCAAAATGTGGGGCATTGACTACATTGGACCTATAACAGAAAGTGTTAGTAAGAACAAGTATATCATTGTTGCAACAGAGTACTTTACCAAATGGCCAGTAGCCAGAGCCACCAAGGAGCATAACATGGAGATCACAGCCAAGTTCCTGTACAAAGAGATCTTTACTGTGTATGAACCTCCCACAGTCCTCCTAAGTGATCAAGGGAATGATTTCTAAAAAAAAAGTTGGTAGATAATTTCTGCAAAATGATTAGTACAAAGCATAAACTTACCACAGTGTACAATCCACAATGCAACAGATTAACTAAATTCTTTAACCAAACCTTGATTCAGAGCTTGGAGAAGATTACAACAAAAGGTGCTACACATTGGGCCGTCCACTGACCTGTGGCTTTATGGAACTACTGCTCAAGAGTACAATCAACAATAAAGTTCAAGCTTTACAAACTACTTTATGAAGTTCCTATCAAAAGCTTGGACATTAATAATATAAGCCCTGACAAACTTACCATGTCAGAAGCCTGCAATCAAGCCAAATTTCAAGTCTTGGACGCAGCTGAAAAGCTGAGAGCAAAAGCATGTGTGGCACCAACAATTGATCAAATACCATTTGGTACAGAAGTCTTAGTATTCAAGAATTCAGTTTCACAATCACTAAGCAAGAAGTTCCTACCAAAGTGGTCTGGCCCATACAAGGTGATTGGTCACACCACATCAAACAACTATTACCTTGTCAATCAAGAAGGTCAGTTACTCAACTTTGTCATTAATGGCAATCAAATGAAGGTATTTCACTAACCCAATGAATGAAGGGTAAAATGTGACATAACCGTCAATTAACTGAATTTCAGTTAACCCCCCTCCCCAAAATCCCCACTTTTTGGTTACGCACCAGCCTCATGGCTAACCCATTCAACTTCCATAAACCCCCATATTTTAACTGTTGACAAATACTATATATTCAGTCAAATTGTTTAATATTCAAACACAAGTAAATTCATATATCCCAAATATTGTTTTTTAGTCAATTTGTGCAAATATCAACTTTAGCATTGAACTTGCCATCCAGACAATAACAAGCAGAAGAACATTACCTCTGTCTTTTTGAACCTACAAGACTTGTGAAATCACATTTTTTGAGTGTAATCTTACACTGCAAAGTTATTTAATTTTAAACATTAAAGAATGAAACTTAAAATGGAATTTTGCCATTGCCCTGAGCACGCAAGCATCCTTTTTGTAACATTTAAAAAACTAATCTCCCCGCAGGGAATTGAACCCTGGCTGCTCCGGTGAAAGCAGAGTATACTAACCACTGGACTACAAGGGAGTATGAATTTTAGCAAAAGACACGGCGCTTTATTCGAAGTTCAAGTCTACATTAAAAGAACATTGCCAAGTACAAGGGATCAGGTAAGTTTTAGGTCTTTAAAAAATCCTAAGCTATAGTAAATTGATATCCTTTATACTAATAACATCATTTAGAGATAACGAGTATCATCAATATAAGGTAGATGTATAATCTTCAAAACATTTAGAGCCCTATCAAAAAACAATGATATATTTTAACTTAACAAAAAATCAATACTTTGACTATGCCAATTTTTAAGCCCTACTTGTGAAGGTTTCATTAAAATGGAAAATATTGAACTGAAGATATTCCTTAAAAAATTTAGCAAAAACAAAAACTTAACACATCATGTTAACATTAAATAAAAATTCTCAGAGTGTCACAAGTGACAAACTCCTGTCAACTATGATAGTCAAAAGGCCTCAACTATTGGAGTCAAACCCTGATGCCCCGCGGGCTGCCAGCCCACAGGGCCAGCCACCTAGCCCCACAGTTTTTGGGGTTCAAACCAGAATTGGATTCAACTTCAGATAATCTCTGAAGTCTGATGAACCAAGTTTGCCTACAACAATACCCCCCGCGCTAAAGGTCCCTAGTTAACCCAACCAATCAATGGGCTGGATTAGCCACAGACCCCAAATAACCAGGCCACTACAGAAGAAGAAAAAAGATACCTTCTATAATAAACAGGCCACCCAGAGATGACTAGTCCTGTGACCTGGTTAAGGAAGTGGAGTGCTCTAGTTGCAAGTCAGCCAATGAAATAACCCCCACAATTGTTAATACCAAGGGCTGTGAGAGGACCTAGCAGACATGGAAACCTGGTCCATGAATTTCTTTAGAAGTTTTGCCATGACAGATGGGCATACTTATACCCTGGGCCGCCAGGAAGATACCCATCACCATCCTTGCAATAAAGTGACATGAACCTTTGGTTCAACCAGATCATACCATACTTGTTATTAGTTTTACTTCATCTACAGTCTACTCTAGCGGCTCTGCTCCACGTGTTCACCTATCCCAAGAAACCGCCGGACCAGCCGCCCAAACTTACCGTCCACCAGGAGCTCCTTTGGCCCAGTACATTTTACCGAGTACCCACCCAACCTGGCGTATTTGGGTTTCCTCTGGAGAAGATCCTAATCCACGAACCTGAAGCTAGGACTAGAGAGACCAAAGTCCTTTACAGAGAAGGCACCAAAATTATCTGGCCCCCTCTGCTATTCTGAGACAAGTATAATTTCCTGCCCTTATATCTGGTCCCAATGACGCCGCCCCTCACTCCTCGGCCCAACCGCCCACAAGAATCTGTTGCCGTTGATGAATCCACTTCCACCCAAATATTTGGGGTGATGTATATCACCCTCACTGGGTTGATTGATTCCATGGTACCTATGAGCGGACCTTGGGCAATCCTTGGGAAATTATTATCTTATATTGTAAAGTTAGCCCCAATCCTGTGGTGGGCCCTCCCTGCTGGGCCCGCAGGCCGTCCGCCCGCGAGTCCTCAGGAACCCCCCACAGGTTGGTTCCCTGACAAGATGGGACCCATTTAGCTTTAATATTTGGTTTTTATCAACTTATCTAAAATCATTTACTCACAACACCAAATAAATATTTCTTCAAATCTTATCAAACTAAAATTGATCATGTATTATACATATAACACATATAACTGATTATAATTATATTTTCAATAAATAAAACAAGTCAACTACACTAAATATGTCAGGGCCAGGGGTTGACATGTACTAGACACAGCAGATAAATTCCATACATTCCAGGATCTGGACCTGGCTATTACTCTATGGGTTTGGGATGTGGGTGATACTCTAGTCCTCTGGTTTGACTTCTGATCATATCAGGCACCCACCCACTAGGGAGTGAACTTCCTAGGTGGTGAATGATTGCAGAGGGATTCAAGCCTGTCACCAGGGATCCCACAGGCAAGGAGACCATCCCTAGATGGAATAACTCTCCAAGGAGTTGGTACCTGCCTAGCAGGGGATTAAAACGCCCCAAGAAGAAGTACACTCCTAGATAACACAATAAAAAGTCTGAAGCCAATGGACGGAACACTTGAGGCTTGGTAACCTGGGTGGTGGAACCATAAACCTTGGTTTCTTCCTGGACAGGTGGATTGTTTGAGAGAGGAGTTGTGGTATACCAAACTCCCAGAATCACACAGCACCAGGAGCTGTCAAGGAATTGAGACTCTGGTGTTGTACCCAAATCAGCGTGTGAACCTATGGAAACGCTGGAGAACACCATCATAGTTAAGACTATCCAGAGTAATTATTTATACCCAAGCAACTCCATAAGAAGAGTCTTGGGTAATTTCATGGTTTTGGAAGCTTAGAGGTTTAAGTCAAATAAAAGATTAGCATACAATCACTTGGGTGAAATATAGACTTTATTGATTGAACAAGTATTAAAATGTAACTTACCAGCCTTATATAGCATGGTAGTAATAAAATAGTTTGGATGGAAGATAAAGGGGATCATAAGCTTTGGGGATGAGTCTGGAGAATTTGGAGCAACTGGAACTCATACTACAGCTTTTGTAAATAAATTTTGGCATGAGCATGATTTCCATAACAAAATTGGAGGTTTTGGCTGAAGTTATTAGCCAAAAAATGGGGTCAAGCACTGGGGTAGCCCCAGATTTCTCCAGCTGATGGCTGGAGAACTGGAGAATTAAGGACAACAGAACCAGAGTTTTTGGAACTAGGATTCAAGGTAACAGAAACAACTGCTGTGAAAACGTCACCTGGCATAGTCTGGAGGTGGTTCAAAGTTGATTTGTTGCCAGTTGATTGGCTGTATTCTTCTGTTGAAGGTAACAATTGGTTAGAAGTAATATTAACACTTAAACCAACACCCGGTCAATTGATTAAGTCCCGGGAAGACTCGAGTTTGATCCCCAAACCTGTTTTAACCAAATCATCAGTTTCAAGCAGACTGTTTTTACAAGGTAATATAGAACAGATGTTATTAACTAATTTAGCTGTTTCAATATTTCCAAATAAGCCTGGTTTAGAGTCCCCTTCTGCTGTTGAATTCTCAAAGAAGTTGTTGTCAGGAATTTTGGAAGGATTTTCCTGACTGATCAGGTGGTGTATAAATTGTATTCTATAAAGGCAAACAAAACTGAAAGGTTCATATACTTTATGTGGCATTGTCTGCACTTGAACTAAGGGGAGGGAAATTATATTTAAGCTGAAAAGAAGGCAACTTTTGAGAAAGCTTCAAATAGTAGTTTGGAGAAGAATGATTTTATTGGATGATAATTCAGTTTTATATAATGTCAGAAAACTACAGGCCATGGTATTTTATCATCTGCCAGATTATATTCTAAGTCCTCTAACATTAGAAAAGTATATAGAACCTGTGACTTTGGCGTAACCTGTGGCCTGGAATATTTTTTTATCATCAGAAGTAGCAAGTCTGACAGGGCCCAAGGCCCAAAGAGTTGGGATGGTTCTTATTACTTCTGGATATAGGTTCATGGTTTGTTGTCTCTATTTTATTATAGAAATTAATACTGTATGACAACAGTATCATCTTTTGCTCTACTAATAAAGCCTAAGAGAGGATAACATTAAAGAAATAGGACTTTTATCAATCATCAAGTCAGTACAGAATCATCAGTATTTTATTATAGGGGTCTGACTTTAAGGTGGCCCACCTGCCCACACATTTCTGATTTAGCTTACAACTCTAAATAAAGACTGTGGTAGCATTAGGGCAACACGGCAAAGGGCCCATCCTTTCTGAAGTGGTTTTGATGTAAGTTTGCTTGAAAAATTCCACAGCTTAGTATCCTTTCTGACGCTATACAACTATCCCTCAGTCCAAGCAGAGTAGTTGTCTACCTGGGTGTCATGGCCTGGGTGGCTCCTAGGGGAACCTTCAGTCAAGGGGAAGTGCTGAGCCTGGAAGGCCCAGTAGATGACGGGAGCCATCCACATCACATAATTGGCAGCTGTAGCCCAAGGACACCACACTCCCATGTGGGTTATCACTTGCTCAGTGAGCCCCAGCATGGTCAAGTAGGCAAACCCAAGCTTGCTGTAATCATATGATAAAGCAGAAGGAACAAGGGGGAGCTCTCCTGCAGCAGTGCTCATGGTCTGGCTTGACTGGGCAAGTTGGTAGAGCAGAGGAACACCAGGAAAGGAGAGGCAGGGTTCAGGAACAGGAGCTATCTCTTGATCCAGCACTCTAGGAGATGGGGTAAAGGCTGGCAGTGGTTGGTTGGGGGCAGCAAGAAGTTTCTCTTTTTCTCAGCACTGGCATTGGTACTGAAGGTACTCTCTGATTGAAAGCACCAACAGTATAAAATTTGTGATAATGTTATAAACCCCTGCAAATTATAAATGCTCAGTGTGCATTAACCAACAAAAGTTTATTAAATGAAGATGTCAATAAGGAAAGGATTTGTCAGTGTTACCAGCTATATCCTGCTGGGAAACTGCAATTAGACTTACTGGAAACTCCTTATTAGTTTTTGATGAATTATTCTTGAGTTAGGTTCTATTAATGACTCCCAATTTGTCAGCTAGATAGGTCCTTACATTCTTTTTGCCCTGGGGAAGCTGGCAGGGGAATTTTGGGCCATTTGGCAACCCAAGTCCCCATTCCTGGGTTTCATAGGGTGTAGGCCAATTAAAATATTTTTTGCTTGTCTTTGGAACAGTTTCTAACTGCCCCCAGGGTTGGCCTTGACCATAGATTGATTCCCCACTTGGAATTAAAGTTTCCCTTTGGTTAATTTGTGTGATTGACAACACAATTGTTTAGTTGCGCAATTGCTCAATTGCAGGCATTAAACCTATGAAACATAGGGTTTTGTCTGGCCCATTCTAGGCCTTGACACTGGGCCACGTTCCAGGGTTAGCTAGCTGGACTGGCTACTAGTTTACAGAGGTGATTTTTACATCATACTGTATATAATCAGAGAAACTCTAATACAATAGA